AGCCCCTTCCCCAGCACTCACATCTGCAGCGCACTGTTGGTAGCATTGATAAGGCCAAGGTCTTGGGTTTCTGCCAGGATCATGAGGGCACATTTCTCATGGCCCTGAGGGAGAGGAACAGAGTGCAGACTGTGAAGTGGAAGCATGACAGGCCACAGAGGAGGAGAAGGGGAGTGTGGCAGTGGGACAAAGAGCTACCCCACCGTCTGACAGGCTAGCTGATCCTGACTTCCACGCCGGTCCTCTGCCCCATCAAGCCACCCAGCCCCTTCACATGCCCTGCCCTATGCAGCCTCACCACCACCCTCCAGGCAGTACCTTGCTACAAGCCAAGTGGAGGGCAGTGTTCTTGTTCTCATCCAGCACAGTTAGGTCTGCCTTCCCTCGATACAGCAGAAATTCTACAAGAGAAAGGGGACCGAGCGGGACTGACGCCTCCCCCAGAGCAGCAGCCATCCCGGCTCTCCACCCTCCTATCTGCATATATTGTGCATCACATCTGCAGAGGGTGAAACACCCAAGACATGCCTCCTGCTTCCTGAACCCCACAGGCAGGGCTGACCCATCTTGCAGAAACCCCAGGGGAGCGCCTCCCTCCTGGAAACACACCCACAGCAGCAGTCTGCCCGTTCTCAGCCGCCGTCATGAGCGCGGTGCGGCCCGTGTGGTCAGTGGCATCCACCTCAGCCTCATGTTGCAGCAGCATCCGGAGCCCAGAGACGTTGTCCGCGAAGGCAGCGGCGTGAAGAGGGGTCCTGCGGGTGGGGGTCCGGGCACAGTGAGACAGGAAAGGAGGTCAGAGGGGCTTCTCCCCATGCCTTTCGCCACTCACTCACCGTCCTTTGGCATCTCGGCTGTTCACAATCTTGGCACCCAGAGCTCCCAGCAGCATCTCTGTGGTGCTGTCCTGGTTATTAATTCTGGGGGAAGAGGAAGGCTTAGCAGGAGGGGCAAGAGAAGCAAACTCCTGTGCAAAGCCCAGGTCAGGGACCCTTGAGAAGAGCTGAGGCAGAGGAAGGGACTTACACTGCACAGTGCAAAGGAGTGAAGGGGTTTCCTTCCAGGTATTGAAATGGGCTGTGTTCAAGTAACAACTCCAGACAATCTTCATGTCCTAGGCATGAGGAAGGAAGAGGAGTGATGGACAGAGATAACACCAGGGTTCCCACATCTGTCCTCTCCCATCTCCTGACACTCCATTCTACCTCCAGAACCAGATCAACCCAGGTCCCTCCCTCAACCCCCTTGTCCTGCGTCTCTGTACACACTCCTGAGCCTGCAAAGCCCCCAGGCCCATACCAGTGTAGGAGGCCCAGTGCATGGGCGAGTATCCGCTGTAATCCACGCCGGCATCCAGGGGGTCTGTGGAAAGGGCAGCCTGCAGCAGGGTCCGCAGGACCGCAGTGTGGCCACAGGCAGAGGCCAGGTGGATGGGCGTGCGGCCCTTGAAGTCTCGGCACAGCACAAACGCGTCGTGGTCCAGCAGGGCAGCCAGGCAGTCCTCACAGCCAGTCACTGCCTGGGGTGGGGAGTGCAGTTGAGGAGCCACTCCCTTTCCAATGACCAGTCACTGGGGCTGGCCCAGGAGTGAGAGCCACCTCCAGAGCTCCCATCCTAGTCTTTTTTTTTTTTTTAATTGGGGGGACATTGGTTAATAAAATAATACAGGTTTCAGGTATACAATTCTACAAACACATCATCTGTATGTCTTGTGTGTTTACCACCCCATCCAATCCTAGCCTTTACAACAGTGACTCCAAGTGTTAGTCACCAGCAGCTGCTTCCTTTACTCTCTAAGCCAGTGGTTCTCAACCTTGGCTGCACATTAGAATCACCTGGGAATCTTTTTAAAATCCTGATTTCTGGGCCTCATCCTCTGGAAATTCTGTTTCTTTGTTTTGGGGTGGGGCCACAACATTCATAACAAAGAAACAGAATTTCCGGAGGATGAGGCCCAGAAATCAGGATTTTAAAAAGATTCCTGATGATTCTAATGTGCAGCCAAGGTTGAGAACCACTGCCCTAAGCCAACATATAATCAGGATGGCAAGAGTGAATTCTGGCACTCTGGAATGGGAGACAGATGCGGAGTACGGAGACTAAGGGAATCCAACAATCCAGGGGGACAAGGAGGCAGCTTTAGGACATGTGATGGTGGAGAAGGACTGGGTAATGGCATCTTCATCCGATGGGACAGGGCCAGCAGGTATCCTGGGGCAGAGCCTGGCTGGTGAGCAGGTGGCTGTATGTGATTACAAAGCAAGGCGATCAGGAGATCAGCTGCGGATGTCAAGTACTCATCCCGGAGCAAACACAGTGAAGCCCAATAAGACTCGGCACAAAGTCCTGGCCCACCTGCCAGACGATGTGATGTCCTACTGCTGGCGGGCCCTGGGCTCCTCATCCAGGCCTGTCTATGAGCAGCCCCACCCAGGGCTCACTTACCCCACGGTGGAGGGCGGTGCAGCCCCGGAGGTCAGCAGCATCAGCTGTGGATCCTTTCTCTAGCAGCAGGTGTACACAGTCCACATGGCCATTCATGATGGCCAGCATCAGCGGGGTTCTACAGAGGGGGCAGGAGAAGGGTGAGGGCCCAGCAGTGACGGGAAAGCCTGCACACCACCCCGGCCCACACTCACTGTCCATAGGCATCCATGACATCTGTGATGTCAGCTCGTTCCCCACTGTCGATCAGCAAGTGCAGGGAGTCAGTGTGACCAGAGGCAGCTGGGGGGAAAGGGGGCCTGTGTCAGGGCATGGTCCGGGGGAAGGAGGCCAGGGCAAGGCTCAAGGGGTGGGGGATAGGAAGCTACAATTCAGTATATGACGTTTCCATCCTCCTCACCCGACTCCACTCCCAACCCCAATCCCATTCAGGAGGGATGGTGGGCCAGTCTCCAAGGGGAGGGAGCAACCTAAGGGGCACACGAACCAGCAGCATGCAGGGGTGTCCACTTGCGCTTGCGCTCCTTGATGAGGGCAGAGGCGCCGTGGGCTGTAAGCACCTCCACACACTCAGTAGAGCCTCGCTCAGTGGCCAGAAAGAGTGCGGTCCGGCCCTTGTGGTCCCTTACATCCAGATTCACCAGCGTCTCGGCCAGTGTCTTCAGGGCTTCACAGTGACCATTGTAGGCCTGGAGGGGTGTGGGCAACCATGGACACAGCTCAGGACACTGCCTCATTCTGCTCTTGGGGCCCATGGAGACCCCAACCAGCAGTCCCCCCACTAGCCCCTCAGCCCCTCAGGATGCTCTCCCCTCTCCAGGCCACAGCCTGCTTGCCACATCTTCTCACGAAGACAGAGCAAGGGCAGTTCACTGTGTGCCCCTGCGCGTGGGCCAGGTGAGGACAGGCAGGCAGGCAGGAAGGAAGGGCTGGGACTCACAGCTAAGTGCAAAGGGCTGACTGGAATGGTGCTCTCCACATCCTCCAGGCAGTTAAAAGACATTTCTAAGAGCTGCAATGGCAGGAGAGCAGGTGCTAAGGTTTTGGAAATCCCAAGGTATTAGCCCTGTCCCCACCAACAGTAATCCCCTGAGCCCCTGACCTAGAGACCACATTTGATTCAGTCACCCCTTGGTTTCAGAACCCACAAACACAAAGGTGCCCTATCCAGGGCCGGATCCCACACGTACCAGTTCGAGGTTCTGTCTGTTGCCATAGGCGGCTGCATAGTGCACAGCTGTGTAGCCCTGCCTGTCCCGCAGGGAGGGGTCTGCACCGTTATCCAGTAAGAACTCCAGACAGCTGGGGGCAGGAGTAGACTGTGAGGTGGGGACAGGCCCAGTCCAGGAGGGCACAGTTCTGGGAGAGGTGGGGGGGGGGGGGGGCCCCCAGGGGGGGGGGGGGGGGGGGGGGAGCCCCTCCCAGCCTAGCTGGCCAGCACCCAGGTGTGCTGTCTCCTGCCCATTCTACTCCAGCTCCAGACCTGCCCCTCCTTCAGGTCTGCCCTAAACCACTTTGGCTTCAACACCCTCCTAGGGAACCTAGACACAGTACCAGCTATCAGCATTCTGCTGACTGACACTCTCCCACCTCCAGGCACGCTGACCCTACTTTAAATGCCTTCTCCTCCCAGCCCAGCTGGTCTACTCCTCTCAGTCCTGGCCCCAGCACCCTCTCCTCTGTGAGGCCGTCCCCAACCTTTCCAGTTAGTGCCGCCTCCTCTGTACTCCCTTGGCACCCCTCGCATTGCTTAGTAGTCGTTGTACTAGTGATAATATAATACTTAGCACTCACTCGGTGTCACACTGTTCTAAGCACTTCCTGTGCATTAAATAGTTTAATCCTCATAATGACCCTATGAGATAGATACTAGCCTTATCCTTCCTATGGTTGAGGAAATTGAGGCAAAGAGAGGTTAAGTTACTTCCCAAAGATCACAAAGCTGAGCCTCTTTGTCAGTATCCTTTAAAAAAGATAAACTTTTACTTTGAGAACAGTTTTAGATTTACAGAAAAACTGTGAAGATTGTACAGAGTTCCCATATACTCCGTACCAACTTCCCCTATTATTAACATCTCACATTAGAATGTATAAGTGTCCTTTCATTTATCTTTTTCAACAGATTTTTAGCTTTTAGAAAGCAGAAATGTGGGGTAATTTACCCTTTATCCTTAGTACGTAACACAGTACTTGGTAGCTAATAAGTCATTACTCCATTAATGCCTGTGGCATAAACAAATGACTTTGTGTGTTGGTTCTCTGACCCTCTCAAGAAGACCACCTGCTCCCTGAGGGAAGAAACTATGCCTCGTACTCTTGTCTTTACCCAGTGCTTAGTCCGGGACTACACTCAGAGGCTCCACACACACTGCTGCCGAAGGCCTGTGGGGGGAGGGGGACAGAGCCGGCACCTCTCTCTACTCACAAGAAGGCCTCCTTCCTGCGGGACTCCTTCAGGGGCTCCTCCTCTTCAGCGTCGTGGCTGGCAGGTGAGTGGGGCTCTGTTCTGTGGGAGGGAGAGTGAGGAAGTCAGCGGGAGGTTCAGGGAGGTGCGTGGGGTTGAGCAGGCCAAGGTGGGCGCCTCACCTCCTGTAGGTGTCAGAGGCGGCAGCGTAGTGGAGGGGGGAGCAGCCTTTGCAGTCGGCCTCGTTGACGCCTGCCCCAGCAGTCACCAGTGTGACCGCGCACTGGTAGCTGCCGTTGGCGGCCGCGTAGTGCAGTGGAGTCCTGGGGAGAAGGGGAAGAGGCGGGGTAGAAGAAGCAGGGACAGATCCAAACACGCTCAGATGCGCAGCCAAGAGCTGCTCTGTCACATTCTCCTTACTTCGTCTCCAGCTCCCCAACCCTCGCTCTATCATTTGTCTCTCTAATCAGACAACCCCTAGGTACACCTGTGCACATTAACACACCTTCCAAATTTGTCTCTCCTCCTCAAGTCAGCTCCACTGCTCAACAGCAAATTAAGACATTCAACATTCCTAAAAGGAAGAAGGATGAGGGTTAAGAGAGTGAAAGCCTCAAGGAGAAGCCACAGGCGCAGGGAGGGGCCGAGGAAGGACGGAACTGCTCCCACTGTGAGGGGCAGAGACGTGGGCAGGAAGGGAGCGGCTAGCCCCTGCCCAGCTCTCTTCTCAAGGCCTGGGAGGGGGAAGAACTCACCCTCCAGAAGCAGCAGCATGAAGACAGGTGCGGCCAAGGTTGTCAGGCGTATTGATGTCAAACCCAGCTGAAAGCACGTGCTCGTTGCTGAGTGAAGATACAATGCTGTACAGCTGACCTGCAGGGCCAGAACAGCCACAGGTCCCAGGTAAGGGCACTGAGCAGAGGGACAGGCCTCTGCTCCCCAGATACCTGCCCAACTCCCACCTGGTCAGCACATACCTGAGGAAAGAAGCTTACGACAACAGTCAGAGAATCCAAAAAGGACAGCTAAGTGCAGGGGGAACATGTCGTGGATGCCGCGCCTAGGGAGAAGTTGGGGCTCACTCCTCGGTCCAGGAGGGACCAGTTAGACCTCTTCCTGCGACCCACCACCAGCCTAGGAGATGGCGAGCCTCCCTTTAGCAAGCTTCTCTGTGCCTCCATGTTTGATGTGAGCCATCTGTACAGTCTGAGGCAGCCTAGAAGTGGGTCCAGGAGCCCTGACTCACCGGGCGGTATCCGCGCCATTGGTCATGAGGGTGCTGATGAGCAGCTCGTGTCCGTAGCGAGCGGCCACGTGCAGTGGCGTGTTCCCAAATTTGTCAGCACAGTCAATCTCGCTGCCTGAGGGGGGTGCATATACATAAACTCAGGCCGGCCTTAGGCTTCAGACCACTTCTCCTAGCTAGCTCCCGAGTGCTTAGGATGTGCCCGTGCCAGGCTAGCATTCCACATGTGTCATCTTGTCTGTTAGCCTCAGGGGAAGGGGCAGGCAGAGCAGGGCCATTTCCACTGGTGCCTAGCTCAGAACTCCAGGTGCCATCCTGACTGCAAGACGTGGTGGGAGGCAGAATAAGGAAGGAAAGGGCTTTCTAGAAATGAGTTCTCTGGGGGAAGAGAAGGGAGCAGCCTCCCGAATCCATACCATTCTGGATGAGGATCTGGGAGCGGGTGAAACGGCCGTGGATGGCAGCCATGTGCAGAGGACTTTTGCCTTCTTTGCTCTGTGGAAACATGGCGTGTTTTTTTTTTCTTTTCTTTTTTCAGTGCAAAGCACAGAGAATGCCCTGTTCCCCCTTTTAAAGGACACATCCCTGAGGATGGTATAGTCCTATGACACATTCTCGGCCCACATTCTCACAGGTCCCTGGCAAGCTCTGAACAGCCCAGGAAGCAAGTGGACAATTCCCAGAGAATTATCCAGAGGGAGATATGGTCAGGACCCCAGAGCCAGGCTCCTCTCCCCACTGGTCTCAGCCTCATCCCTTCAGGTACCTGGTAGTTGACATCAGCCCCATTATTGACCAGAAGCTCCAAGCAGAGAGCGCCATTGGTGGAGACAGCAGCCACGTGCAGTGGCGTGAAGCCCTTGTCGTTCGGCTGGTTGACATTGGCTCCTGCGTTCACCAGCTCAATAGCCACAGCATCCTGGCCCAGGTAGCAGGCGATGTGCAAAGCTGTGTTTCCAAAAGCATTGGGCTCGTCGATCTGGATTTCCAGGGGTGAGGGAAAGGGAAGTATCAGTTTAAACAAAGTGGTAGCTGGCACAAACAGCCTAGAGAACCCCGAAATCCAGTAACTGCCTCAGCTCCCTCAGATTCCCGACCCTAAAGACTGAGGGCACTATTACTTCAGGTGAGCATTATTCAGGCCCTTCCACCACATCCTCCATGGCTCCCAAAACCATACCTTCCCATCTCCGTAACACACTCTGACCTCCAACTCCCTGCCCGCAGTCCCCAGCCCCTGTACTCAGCACCCTCACCTCAGCCCCCGTCCGGAGCAGGTACTTCACCACTTCAATCTGGCCACTGGCAGCAGCTGTATGGAGCAGCCCATAGCCCTTGCGGTCCTTGCAGCCAAGGTCTGCTCCCCGGGCCACCAGCAGTTTCAGGACATCCAAATGCCCTGAGAAGAGAGGATGCTTTCAAGCAGGGTTTGTGGAGTGCCTCTCGCTGAGGGCAGCAACCCCCACTCCCTGCCCAGGAATCTTAATGATCAGATGCCTCCTCTTCCTGTGAATCTTTTCTCACCTAGAAAAGCTGCCCAGTGCAGAGGCTGCCGCTCCTTTTTGTCACAGACATTCAGGCTGGCTCCCTTATTGAGGAGCAGGTTCACCGTCTGTATCAGGATATGAAACACCTTCAGTGACAAGTTCATGCCCTCAACCTGCCTAAGAACAGAGACCTCAGCTCCTGAAAAGGCTGAGGCAGCCTAATGGTCTTGGTTCTTTTTAAAATATATATATATTTTTTATTGATTTCAAAGAGGAAGGGAGAGGGAGAGAGAGATAGAAACATCAATGATGAGAGAGGATCATTGATCGGCTGCCTCCTGCACACCTCACACTAGGGATCAAGCCCGCAACCCAGGCATGTGCCCTTGACCGGGAATCGAACCTGGGACCTTTCAGTCCGCAGGCCAACACTCTATCCACTGAGCCAAGCCAGTTAGGGCATGGTCTTGGTTCTTGAGCAGGACAATCTGGAGCAGCGGTCACCAACCTTTCAGACCTCACGGACCACCGGTTGGCGACCACTGATCTGGAGAACCAGAGGGAACAGAGGAAGCAGGCACTACGAAGGAGATCCCACACAAACCGGAAGTTTGAGGAAGTCTCTGCAGGTGATCTGGTGGTGGTTCTTTTTTTTTGTTTTTTGTTTTTCAGTCACAGTTTACTTTTAATTTTATTTTGTACTGGTTTCAGGTGTACAGCACAGTGGTTAGACAATCATATACTTTATAAAGTGTCCCCCTGATATTTCCAGTACCCACCTGGCACCATACACAGTTATTACAATATTACTGACTATATTCCCGATGGTATACTTTACATCCCCGAGATCTGGTGGTTCTTAAACTCTTGAAAAGTTTTTAAAAATGTGTTGAAAGACATTGACTCTCATATCAGAAAAAGGCATGTATGCAAACATTTTCCGTGTAACTCCAGAGAGTTTATCACCCTCTTGAAGTCCAAGTCAAGGATTTCAATCTAATGTGACCATTCATTCGGCTCATATAACCATCGGGGCTTCTCCTCCCCAGGGCTGATGGCCCAGACGCCAGGAAAGATGGGTAGGAAGGAGAGGGAAGGACTAGGCATGGACTGGACATGGTCCTCACCTCCAGATGCCCGCTATGCACTGCATGGTGCAGGGCACTGCGCCCGCTCCTGTCAGCCACGTTGAGGCTGCTCAACAGGGGTGCCAGAGCCTCAGCGCACTTGGTGGCCCGGTTGGCGGCAGCCACATGCAATGGTGTCTGCCACAGCTTGTCCCGGGCATTCACATCTGCTGAATGTGCCAGCAGCAGCCCCAGCACCTTCTGTTCAGAGGCAGGGGATAACAGAGATGACAGAGGGGGGTTAGGAAGTGAAACAATAGGAAATGGAGGGAAGACTAGGTCAGCATGGCACAGGTGGCCCCATTCCCCCACATGCCCTGCCCCTAGCACAGCATGTCTAGCCTCTCAATGCCTACTTCCCACCTTCTTCTGGATCTCCTTAGAGCTTAAAATCTTCCCTACCTTGCTGATAAAACCAGAGATCCCTTCCTCTTCCTCAAGCCACCAATATTACTCTCTACCCGACCCTGAACATCTTCACCCACACATAGAGTCACTACCAAGCAAATCCACACACATAGAGGACCCACTCCCCCACTGCTTCTCGGAAAGATAAACACTCCTGAGACATCAATGCCCAGGTGCCCTCCTTCACCCCGTCCATAGGCACCAAAATCATTTTCTTACCTAGGAAAGCAAACCCACCTCACGAGCTGGTTCCCTGACCCCCAGGCTGGCCTGGGTTCCTCTCCAAAACCCAGGCTAACATGGCCCTCCTAATCACCACCCGCCCCCTTCCCGCTGGCCTCCGTCCCACCCCTTCCCTGGTGGCTCCAGCCAGGGAAGTGACTGAAAATAAGAGGGAGGTCTCCTTTGCACACTCTTCAGGGTTGATGGACTCAACTGGTGAGGCACGTTGGACCCCTGGGCTGTCAACTTTCATCCGGCTTGAGGCAGGGATGCAGCAGATCACCACCCCGTCCCCCCTCACAAGAAACATAATCTCAGTGCCCAGAGGGGGAGGGGACTCCAAGGTGGCCCCTCAGGGAGGGATGAGTCACTCAGGCCTGGCAGCAGGGCCCCCTGCAGTCTGCCAGCCCAGCCTTAAGCTCTGCCCTGACGTCACATCAGCTGGCAACGCTCAGCCCCACCTTACCAGCCAGTTCCAGGGGCCGAAGGGAGGGGCCGAGGTCCGGTCTTCGCCCATCCCCGGGGTAGACCAGCTTGCCAGGCAGAGGACTGAGGCCCTCCCAGCCTTAACCTGCACCTCTAACCAGCTCATCGCCCTGGGAAAGGGGCCCGGAGGGGAGGCCGGTACCTCATTTCGGGAGGCAGCAGCACGATGGAGAGGGGTCAGCCACAGTGTGTCCTTAGCGTTGACGTTAGCACCTGCGGGATGGGACGCTTTAGGGAGGAGGTGGGGACGGGGCGGAAGGAGGCCGGGAATGGGCCGGGGAGCGGGCTGGGCTGCAGCGTGGCCTGGACCAGTGTCCAGAGAAGGAGCTGGGATCCGGGGCGGGAGGCTGGCCCCTCCCGAGGCCCCTCCCGCGCCACACCTTCCGGCGCCCGCTCACCTGACATCAGTAGCAACTGGAGGATGGGGACATCGCCGACGTAGGCAGCAGCATGCAGCGGGGTTCGCCTCTCTTGGTCCTGGGGAGGCGGAAAAGAGGAGCGGCTGCGGCGGCGAAGACGGA